TAAATTACACTTGAAACCGGTGAAGCTTACCCATGAAATAAAACTAGTAATTCCATGAAAATTTATGTGGTCACACTCACACATAACCACACTGAATTTGAGTATGTCGTACTTGACCCATCATCAACAACTGTGATACTGTATTTGAAAACCATTCTATATATAATATAGACTACAGAGTAGACGACTTTTTCCCACCCAAGGTTTGGCCCAATAACACATTCCCACCCATTAAGTTACCATATGACACTTTTCCCACCCATCAAGTTTTAAAACGAGACTTTTCCACCCACTATTATGTTCTATTACAAAAATCCATTATGTAACACAATAAAAACACTGTACGGACTAAGGACAAAAACACCCTTCTCCCTTATTCTCCTCTTTTCTTCTCTCTTTTGCCACCTCTGATTCCGACGACCGGAAAATCAATCCCACACAACCACAAACACTTCTAATCCAGCGACTGGAAAAACAACCACACATAACCACAAGCACTTCTAAACCAACTTCTCTAGTTGATTTCTAATAAAACAACTCCAAATAATTACATCCAAATCATCAATCAAGCAAAAAACCCTAGGAAAGGAGGCGGTGATCGTCGGCGTTCGGTGGGCAAACATGACTGAGTTTGTTAGGGGTTTTGGAGAGGAAGTACCGATGGTGTGTTTGGCAGTGTCGGGGCTAGTTTCTGATGACAGGATCGACTGGAAAAGCTTGGGGCACTGGAAACAAGGCAAGCACGGTGATCGAAGAAAGGCGAGCTAAACAAGTGTGTGGTGGTAGGGGTTTTGATGAGGGAGGTGAGGGGATTATTTTGGTGGAGTCGAGGGAGGTCGACGACACCGAAAACAAGCCGATTTGGCCTGGACTAGCGGTGCGAGGGCTGGGTTTTTTCCGTGGTAAACGACTTAATCCGGCCAAATCTTGGACAATTAGGCTGGGATAAGGCTCAAAGGATGAAGAAGTGAAGATCTCTATCGGTTTTGATGAGAAAACCAGCCGAAATCGGCTTGAAACAACCAGCAAAAGTGGCGGTGACACTGTAGCAGTTTGAGAGGATTTAGGATTTATATATGGGGGATAAAATGGCACAATTACCCCTTAACAATTTTTTGAATTTACTACTATATCCTTCTTCAGTTAAACTTAATGGATGAATCTTAACATGCATACTAAAGTGTTATTTTGAAACTTAACGGGTGGGAAAGTGTCATTAGGCCAAACCTTGGCTGGGAAGAAGGCGTTTACTCTATAATATAATGACCCTTTTTTTATTTTTTTATTTTCCCAAATTATGCATCTGACGACTGACATTCTTGTACCCATAAGGCAGCAAAAACTAGACACATACATTACAAATTTTTAGTGGTTCTAATAAAATTTATTTATTTATTTCGTTAGACAATAAAATTTCTTGAAAATATATTAGGCAAAATAACTTAATAATTTAAAATAATTCATAAAATATTTAAATTGAAATAGCATATTCTATATATAACTAAATACATTTTTATTTAATAATAATAAAAAATATATTATTTTATTTATAAAAATTAAAAAAAAATTATAAATTTCAAAACCAGTCAACGCCAATCAAACGGAGACGTTCTTTCACTTTTCCAATGTCATCATTAGTGGGTGATCTTATCTTTCGTCATTGGACTTGACGTCAATACATCAATCTCTGACAACCGANACATACATTACAAATTTTTAGTGGTTCTAATAAAATTTATTTATTTATTTCGTTAGACAATAAAATTTCTTGAAAATATATTAGGCAAAATAACTTAATAATTTAAAATAATTCATAAAATATTTAAATTGAAATAGCATCTTCTATATATAACTAAATACATTTTTATTTAATAATAATAAAAAATATATTATTTTATTTATAAAAATTAAAAAAAAATTATAAATTTCAAAACCAGTCAACGCCAATCAAACGGAGACACTCTTTCACTCTTCCAATGTCATCATTAGTGGGTGATCTTATCTTTCGTCATTGGACTTGACGTCAATACATCAATCTCTGACAACCGATGTCCATCTAGATCACCAAATCGTTAGCCATAGACTCTTCACTCGTCAATAGTGACATCGAAAGAGTAAGAAAACATAGTTGTCCAACAACTTTGATTAGCATTGACCGGCTTTGAAGTTTGTAATATTTTAAAATTTTAAATAAAATAATATTTTTGTATTATAATTGAATAATATATATATATTTTAATTTGGAATAAAATTTTAATTTTTAGTAATATTTGTCTTCAATAATTATTAATTTATTAAATATTTAATATTTAATTAAATTACAAAAAATAAAATAAAATAGTAATACTCATTTCTTGCCCTTGAAATACTGATTTCTCACAAATTTGGGAGGAATCGGATTCTCCCAAAATGGGAATACTCATTCCCTCGTTTGTCTACAAATTAAACAAAGGAATAGGCATTCCCTTGTGTTAGAGGCAAAGTAAACATGCCATCAGTGTCACATTCCATACAATTATTTTATTTTATTTTTTTTGTTTATTGGGAATAAACCAGCCGGCAATCATATTTTATTACTTAATTACCTCCTAATATAGACATGAATTGAATTAATACAGATATACAATTTTATTTTATTATGCATAAAGTGGGTGTGTAAGAAAAACAATAAAACAATAATGTGTTGTATAATAATTGCGGAAATATAAAACAATAGTATTATATTAGGTACTAAAACGTAATAGATAAAAGATAAGCGACTCTTGGAATAAAAGAAGAATAGAAGGGCTTAAGTGTTACTTGGAGTAACAGAAGAATAGAAGGGCTTAAGTGTTATTTCATTCTCATTCACTTGATTCTCATACCGGTACAGCAAAAGGCCGAACGACTTACGCATGCCCAAGGTTTGTTGAAATAATAACTTGATACCCAAAAGGTTTTGAAATGACAAATAGATACCTTCTGTCATGTTCTGTTAGTGATTTTAGTTTGATAATAGTAAAAAGACTAAAATGCCCTTGAAAATTTAATATTTTAGTTTTTTTATAAATTTAAAAATTTTTAAAAAACCCCCTAGGTTTGCTAATTTGACTAAATATCTCAATATATAAAAATTTTATAAAATAACAAAAACACCCCTGCCACCCGCAGTGCCAGATTCCGACCAGCACCGTCGGAATCTAGCCGAAAATTTGCGTTACGACACAGACCCATCGGATCTGTGTCGTAACGCGTAGATCTAACATTTTTCGACAAGATCCGTGGCTGATATGACCGAAAAGGGCCAGATTTACGACCAGATCTGGCCGTCGAGGTCGGAATCTTGCCCAAAAAATTGTGTTACGACACAAACCCTTCGATCTGTGTCGTAACACGTCGATCTGGTATTTTTCGGCAAGATCCGTGGAGGATCTGGCCAGAAAAGGCCAAATATGGCCGTCGAGGCCGAAAAAGGCCATATCGATGCGTTACGACATAGATCCGACGGATCTGTGTCGTAACGCAATTTTTCGACCAGATTTCGATGGTGCTGGCCAGAATCTGGCACTGCGGGTGGTGAGGGTGTTTTTGTTATTTTATAAAATTTTTATATACTGGGGTATTTAGTCAAATTAGCAAATCTAGGGGGTTTTTTTAGAAATTTTTAAATTTATAAAAAAACTAAAATATTAAACTTTCAAGGGTATTTTAGTCTTTTCACTATTATCAAACGAAAATCACTAATAGAACATGACGGAAGGTACCTATTTGTTGTTTCAAAATCTTTTAGATACCAACTTGTCGTTTCAGTAAACCTTGGGTATGTGTAAATCGTTCTCTCCACGGCAAAATCACAAAGGGGGGAGGAGTTTATATAGGCATTATAGCGCCCCCAAACTAATCAAAAGTTGCAAAATCAAAGACAGTTGGCATTAAAACGTAACCTCCCTATGCCACTTAAAGAATAAAGACACGTCGCACAAGGGACACAAAGCCTTACCATGGACAGCCACCAAATATATAACATAATGGTGATTTTGTTATGTTGATTGTATTTGAAAATAGTGGATGTATGAGTGTCACGCTGGTTGCATTGCATGTTTTGGGGTTGTAAAGACAAAATCAAGAACACATGTAAAGCTGTTAATCTGACCAATTCAATCATTCAACTAAACAGTGCAACTTACGCCATCAAATTAATGATAGCCGTTTGATTATACTGACTTCTTAATTCCCTCAACCTATTCCTTTGCCTACAACAACGCCACCACGTTCTGCTTCTACCTAACTTCGTACCACATTACCTCCAATGTTTCTTCTTATTACAATTCTGCCACCACCTCTACCAGCTGTTTCCTTTTTATTTTTTTAACTTGTGTATCTATTTATTAATCAACCTGTTTAACAAACCACTGTTATATCATAGGGCACAATTACGAATAATTCATCAGAAAATATAATCTATTATGTGGTATAGAAAATGATATGTATAATTGTCTTCATATTTTTTTCCCTTCTCTTTTAACACGTTGGAGCAAATTTGACAAATAATCAAACATATATACTTCTTCTTTTGATGTACCTATGTTTGTCTTTTGGACTTTGGTCATTTATTTATACGCATTTCCTGTGATATTTGCTGATATTAATCTAATTGGTCTTTTATTTATGTAATTAACAAGTATAGTGAGAAGTATTATAAGCTGTCGTCTCAAAAAATTAACTACGGTGTTTATTTAATTAACCCGAATATATATGATTCTTTCACCGTTTAACTTCAACATACATTGGACATTCTTAGTAATAATTAATCACATTATTTGCATATTTATATATTTATATATATATATGTATATATACACTTGTTGGGCCTGAGTCCCTTGCCAAATCACTCCGTCTTTCTAAAAATATCATCCTGCTTGCTTCGTGCATGGTTGGTAGGGGGTTGAGTCCGTGTATATAACACAACCCCATTACATACTAATAATAAAAAGAAAGACCCCCTTCAAGTCTTTCACCTAATGGAACATATTTCAGGCACCAAGGTCGTCACCATCAGAAATGGGAAGAACAAGATGGTCAACGACCAAGGCTTACGTAAGTCGAAGAAGAAAATGGGGGGTGTAGTGCATTTTGTCAGGCTAGCATTGTACATGCTTCGTCGTAAATCTAAAAAATCAAAAGCATCTATGGAGGTCGATGTGTCTTCCACGGGTCCATGGACAGAAGTTTTGGCATCCATGCGTCCATTACATGCCGGAAGCAGCCAGTGTCCACCATCTTCCGATGAAATGCCTATGTCTGTGCCAATGGTCGAAAAGTTTGAGGATGTGTTAACGCCTCCTTTATCGCCAGCACCAACTAAGACATTGGCTCCACCCTGTGAGTCTGATGATGGCATGAGCCAATACGCTTCTGCACAGGATCTCCAAGAGCTTGATACGGCGACTACTGCAGATGACAATGAAGAAAACAATGATAACGGTGGTGACGAGATGATTGATGTCAAGGCGGAGGAGTTTATAGCTCAATTTTATGAACAGATGAGGATTCAAAACGTCCACTATATGAGCACTCACAACAGGAGACTCAGACAAACGTCATAAGAGGCTAAGGCGGAGGCTGAAGATGATGGATCATGTTCATGTATATTTTGCTCATGCATGCATCCATTCTGTGGTTGGTGGGCTCTAAAATTTATGTGTGTTTCTCTTTTTGTTTTTGCTTGTTTCTTTGTTTCGGTGCCAGAAATCGATGGGCCTAAATCACGATGGGGTCGGGTACAATCTACTAATCTAGGGGCTGGCGGAGTTCATAGTAAAGGTTTTAAGTTGAATCAACTAATCACGTCACTCTCTCTCGGCAAGTCAACTAACAAAATCTCGTCATATATACATCTATTTTTCTCTTTGTTTCATCTTTGTTTTTGAAATGGATGTATATGTGTTGAGATTTATAAAATTGATTTAAATAAAATAAGTTAAACATATGATATCCTGCATTAGTTTTACTTCTCAAATCAATGAAGGCAAAGAAGGAAAGAGGTGAAGGGGAAAGAAAGAATCTGTATGAGTTGGTTTTATACATATATGGATTTAAGAACGGCTTATTGCATGTGATGAGTGATTTTTTTTTTTTTTTTTTTTTTTTTTTTTTTTTTTTAATTTAGGTCTTGTAGAGCAGAAAGTAACCTTAATTCAGCAGAGATGGAGAAGTTTGGATGAGTTTATGTATGCTTTATATCCATTAATTTATTTTCTCTTTTAAATTCTGTGAGCAGTTACCATTTACTTTCTGTTATTCGACTTAGAAATATTTGCAACTAATTAAAGAGTATATTGAAATTGTAGAAAATAAGAACATCATTACTTGGGGCGTTTCATTACATGGACCAGGATTCTGTGAAACCAAAGTTGCATACAGTATGGTAGGGCTATTGAGTATTGGGCCTTCACTTTACAAAGCTCATTCACGTATAATTACGCGTATAAGCTTCGTATTTTCAGTAATTGGCTTGTTTAACAGACTTTAAAACGGAAAATAGAGAAACATCATAATAATGCACCTTTGGAATTGGAGGGGAAACATTCTAGTGAAAAAAAAAAAAAAAAATCAAAGAACGTTACATCATAAAAGAATATACTACATGAATGATTATTGATTTATTTATACAAAAAATCAATTGAACAATTCAAATAAATAAGGTGACATTATACAATATGTTATTAATTTGTAGAAATACTTTATATTAATTTAAAGATTGTATATGCGCATTTTTCAAGACGAAATTCGGTTCAAAACCATTTCCTACTTCTCACAGTAAAATGACTTTAATTCCCTAAAACTCACTTCGCATTTGAACCGAAAAAAACATAAAAACTCCAAAGGGCAAAGGCCACAAAGAAAATAAATAGCCGAATTTCAAATTAAGAAAAAGAAAAAACCTTTCCATTTTCGATAAAAACAAAAAAACAAAACGATACCCCATTTGTACGACTACGCTTCAGTATCTAAATTAGCACTCCGCCTTCCACATCAGCACGTTCCCATTGGGTCCCATATGACGTGTACACATCCAAGCCGCAGATTCTTTCTTGCAAAAGAAAACTAGTACCCGTGGACGATCTGGGAGCACTTGTTCTTGATCCAACGAAACCCCTTTCTCAAAGAGGCCTTAACTTTACCTTCAACAGTGTAAACCTTATACTTGGCAATCCTCTTCTTTCTCTTCATCTCAGGATCGCTAAAGCCCCACGGTTTTACAGACGCGCTATTATTCGGCCGAGTCGCCCGTGGCGGAATCGGCGGCAGATCGGGTGAGTGAGACCGAGTCACGTAGATCTGGTTGGCCCCAAATGCAGTACCAAAGCTTTTCCCACTAACAATCTCCAGTCTCCGGTCACCTCCGTATGACCTCTGACCCGACCCGAATCCATCCATTTAAATAAAAAATATCCTCTTAATTGAGAGGGAAAGATTGTGAGATCAGAGACGAGAAGTGTTTACAATATATTTAGGGTTTATAAATGTGATCTTACTGATGTTAGGGTTCGGGGAAGTGAAGGGTAAACTGGGAAAAAAATAAAATAAAGGATATAAAAAGGACTGTAATGAGTTGTGCGTGCTGGTGCTTTCTATACTCGATGATTACTTTTCGGTTTTGGAATTAAAAAAAAAAAAAAAATTGTTTAGCTGTAATGAAATGTTTTGTGTTACGGACAGCCTCGATGTTCCCGATCTCTGGTTGGATGAAACCTCCTGTCTGCCTTCAACTAAGTTACTTTACTTAATTAATTCTGTTATTATTTAAATAAATAGCTATATCTAGTACGCTCAAAAGTTTATTAATCACAATTTTTGGAGCATATTACGTGATTTGAACTTTTTGCCAACCTTTTTGGATGTCTCGTTCAACTTAACAGATTCTCTTACATTATCCTTATTTCTATTTAGCTGGATTGGTTAATTAAAAGCTTTTCATGGCTCTAGCATAATTTCTTCCGATATATTCTTCACTGCATTAAATCACATGACCATTCAATTTTCCGGGGTAATTCGTCTACACGTTTAAGGCCATAATTATACCTGTAACTGCTCATGAATACGCAGCAGCTTGCACATATTAAACCAGTGGCTACCAAGAGCTATTGTTTAATGTTAACGTCTATATATATATATATATATATATATATATGGCAGAGCGAAATTAATGATACAACTATACAATCAGTCTCTGACCATCGCCTAATGCCTTCAAAATCACACTTTAATTACCCTAGAAGATGTTACAGAAAAAGAGAGAGAAATACACTCAACCTTGCCAAAAGAAGGAAAACTAAGACAGGCTTCTGTGCATGTCATGGATAGATTATCTTAATTAACTTATAGAAAATCAACCTGAGGAAGAAAGTTTAAGATGCAGATCAACGCCTCTGTCTCCCACTCCGTCAGGTAGTTTGCCAGAAAATTCAGTAAACGAAGGCATTGCAGTCGCAAAATGCAAAGGCCGGGCAAGGTAAATTCGAGAAGGCGATGATGGAAGCAACAACGGGCGAGACGTATAACAATAAGTGGGCTGTGATCCAATTGTAGCAGGAGTACTAATACTGCTGATAAATTGTCCTTGATAAATGGGTGTTGCAGGTCTCACTGCATGTGAGCTGAGAATAGGTGATGCAGCAGCTGGTATGAACCGTTGATCATGACCATGAAACTGAGCACGTGATTTCGCTCTTTGACGCTCCCTTTTGTGCGCATTTTGATGGCCCCCTAGCGCTTGAGAATTAGCGAACACTCTGCCGCAAAAATGGCACCGGAACTTTCTACCTTCAACATTTTCTGTTTTCTCAAGAATTTCATCTTGCTCAGTTAATGGAAATCCGAATAGCTTTAGTGCTGAAGCTGGTTTATCATCAGAATGTTTGTCTTGTCCCACATTAGCTGGTAATATTTTGGATGGAATCGATCTCTCTCCCATATGAATTATGAATTAGCGAGAGAAGTGTCTGTGATGTTTGGAATAAAACAGCATGTATTTATAGGGAACTGGGGTTAATCCCTCTTCTGTTTCGGCCCTGTCCATGAAGGAGCAGTAGAAAGTAATGAATCCTCATAATTTTCTACTGTTAGACTTGCTAATCATGTGAGAAAAAAGTCGCGAGTTAGTAGTACGATTCCCAAATGAAAAAGTTGGGGTAGGAAAATAATATTGCTAGCTCTAGGTCGGATAAACACTTCTTTTTGACACTGTTAGTAATACTATATAATATTCTAAAAAATCTTTCATTGGTGGAAATGGATCCTAAGGATCTTGATATTGGTGAAACTCTGAAAAAAAGAGCCCGTGAAAAAAGGGCTTTTGCCATTGTGGGTCAATGTTCATTGTCTGCGAGTGTAGGCACGAGCCAATGCTAATCTTAAGGTTGTCTTGTCCTGGGACCAGGGTTCTGCCATACATGTGGTATGGCATAAAGAATCAACGATATATTTACCCGTCAGTAAATTCAAACAGTGGGTATTTATTTATTTATAATTAAGATATGGTTTGGGCCTTTGGATAGAGGTAAAAGTAAAAGTAACCTAAGCCACTCAGAGAAGGTAGATCGGTTTCGGCCCCTGTCCCACTGCATTCAATCTGGCGCAAGTTCCTCTCCTTTTGACAATAGGTCAGATCTCTTTAAGTCTTTAATACCCAAAATTCACAAATCAATGGATTTGATTGCGAAGTTCTCGTGGGTTACAAGTCCATGAGCCAGCGATTTAAGGATTTGGCATCTACTTAGAGGATTCCAGTAAATACTAGCTAGATAGTACTGCTATAGTTCTTTTCTTTAGCCTTAATGTCATGCTCACGGTATACACGTTGCTTATTGGAAGTTAACCACAAATGTCCCCAGCGGATCTAAACATGCGAATGCTAATCGGAAATAGAAAAGCTTTGACATAATAGTCACCCAAAAGATTAATCTACTCTTCATTTTTTAATGCGTGCTTCACATGGGGTAGTATCCAAATAATATCAGAACAAATTTAGAATTTGTATATTCTCTCTGAGTATCACGTAATTAAAGATGTGAAGCAATCACATCCACGAATGATCCAACAAATTTTACATGCATTATTTTATCCTTCATCTTAACGTAAAAGTATGCATGAATTCTCTTTATAACTTAACAGATGTTTTTAGATTTCCGGTGTTAGTGTATTGAATAATTATATATACTTACTTTGTTATATCGGTTTAAATAGACATGAAAGCCACAATGCCGCCATGGTTTGAAATCGGACCTTAAGAGATTACGTGATATAACTTATTTTACAATTGAAAAACTTATGTTTGGGCAATTTTGAATGGAATAATTGTGTGAAGTGTGAAGTAGAGACTAGAAAGAACCATAAAAACTGAGGCTTTCAGCTTTCAAATTGGGTATGAAAAGAAATAAATGATTTGTTGTACTTTGCATAAGACGATTGTCAGCATGTAACGACACGTTTCAGTGCGTCGTAGTTTATGGAGGAGATAGGCTGTCTGCCACCAACCTGCGCATGGACAGTCACAGACTAGCATTCTTCACCTCTTATGGACAGGTCAAAACGATTACAGTGTCTCCCATAATCCAAGCTTCATTCACATCTTATTCTTATAATTACAATTTCACCAATTATAAGTCGTAATCGGATATACCAAAAGATCTTGGTAAATCCTCTTATTTCAGCTTTTTTTTTTTTTGGTGTTTCCATGGATATTACAAGACTTTAAGAAGAATTTTTTATAACTGATATTATATTAATTTAAAACACACACGTGACTTCAAGGCTTTATCTTTGCAAGGACATTATAACTTTCTCCTTCAATAAATTACTTGTTTGAAACTGAAGTACTGCAAGTGCCAGTATCTTGAAGATCACATGATCTTGTCTGTTATTCGGTGAATTATTGTGCATTTCATTTGTACCAATATCCTATGACCGTTTGGTAAAGGTCTTTTGGAAAATTATAAGTAGCTTTAGGGTTTAGGTTATTCTAGCTCTTTCCCTTGTGACACCGGATTGTTGTATAGGAGACATAATAGCTATGCTTCAGTGCTCCCTTATTTTAACTTTAATACTTTTACACAACATAAGTACATAAACTCACATGTGATTGGGAAAAATCCAAGAAGTTTAGCGAAACAGAATTAGCCCCGCCCCCACCACTGCCCTTATGGTGTCAAATCACCATGCCTCTCCGTTGTTTGGATTCAGGGCAGTGACGAAAATCATTGAGTGGGAAACTGGACCTACTAGGGTTTATGATGATCGTCTACCCAAAACAATATCCATGTTACATAGGTATCACGCTTCCGGACAATTCAATTCAATATCCATCATATATCTTTATTTGATTTGCTTGTCCAACACCGAGCAATGCTCATCTTGTTATACCTCCTCATGTCTATCTGCATTTGTTATGGCATATATACAACAGTCAACACTGCTTAAATTTTATTCTCGTCATTATAATATCACTGATGCTTGTGGCTAACGGCGTGAGATCCTTTCTGTACGGATAAAGATAATTTGGGTAATTGGTTTTGTAATTAAAAGAATGCTTCCATGTATTTCGGGACATTCAAGTACAAAAACGGCCCACTCCATGTTTTTCTTTAGTTACTGTTCTCTCTCTCTTTTTCATTTTTTTCAATTATATTTATTTTGCTTTTCAGAAAAAGCTTCTCACTTTGAATGAATCATATGCGAAAGACTTTATACGTTCACTTGTTGCCTTTTCCTTTCAAGCTTGATGGAGGCTGTTGTTGCTCAATTGGAAGAATGGCCCACCATAACGTGTTTCAGTTTGCCCAATTGTACACAGAAATCTCTATTAAGCTCTTAAATATCGGATTATCTCTGTTAAACTATCATTTAATGTTCAGTCAATTACTGTAAAATTATTTAGGGCTAAAAAATAAAAGTTGTTATATATTTATCAAATTTTTTTTTTTTTTTTTATCAATCCATCTCCATGATTAATAAATAATTACCCATTCATCAATAACCACCATCTTTTGAAAATTAACAATATCTATCTTTATTTTATTAAACGATCTCGCCACATAAATGATAGTGAGACTGTCTCATATAACTTTTTCTCTAATCAACTATATAATTATTAAGCTAAATTAAAATGCCATTTATTTTGTTTATTGTGACCTTTGAACAGTTGAAGCGTATCAACTTACATAAGCATAGACATTGTGATATGATATTAGTGCATAAGTTCTGGGAGGATGGATTGATGATTGAACTACATGTTGAGCCACTCATTTCACATGGAGATAGACATAGGTAGGTACAGTATTAAGTGGGCAGGAGCAGTGAAAGTAATACTAGTTCCATTTTTATTAGATATTAATAAGGGTGGTTATTAAAACTCTTATTTAATCCATAATAAAGATGGTTATTAAAATTCTTACTCGATTGATAATTTTAAGATTTGAAAGATTAGTTGAAGGCCGGTGGAAAGACTCTCCGTGATCAAAATATATATAGCTAAGCAAATGAAGTATATAGATTGGTGATGACTGATGATGTGCATCGGTTACTCTGTTGATAACTCTTGCACGCCAAGGTCTAATCAGGAGGTCGGTCAGGCGCATATACCATCTCGACAACACGATATTATTTGTCCAATAATACGACAAAATCAAACAAATAAGAGAGTGGCCGCTTGGCCCGCTTCTTGTAGGATAATGGCTACCAATGCCGATAGGACTCCAATGCAAGTTCTGTGCTTGTACCAAACAATAGCTTCACCTTTCAGTCTCTCACCCTTTCTTTCGTGTTGTCGTTTTCACTTTTCCAGAAATTCGCTTTTGTGATGGGTGAATTCAATAGCACTAAAGTTTCATCACCCGTTAATACTTAATGTCTTCCTGATCAGCATTAAGCTTAGGTGTGATAAGAGAATAAATTAGTTGGTTGATGGTGATGGAGAGATAGAGACTACGGGCATTTATTAATGGATACCTCTGAACTCAAAATCCAAATTTAGCCAGAGTTAAGTCTCATCAGAATTTTAGAACAGTGAAAAGAAACAATCATGGTATTGGTAACGCATGTTGTGGTATGGGGATAAGGCACAGTAAATTGTTCGATGGCATAGTTTGGAGATTGCAAAATCTATTATTGATGGCATGCCGAGCTCCATGGTTCTTATCTGAAGGGACTAAAGCCTGTTTTTGTGCAGTTAAATGCATGATGCAGCACCAAGACCTTTATAAATGGCTATGAGTTGCTCTCTTTCTTGAGGTAAGGTCAACTTGCACACCATTGGTTAGTTTGTATTTGGATGCAATTATCACTCACCAAACGCTTTTCACTTTTCAGCTTGATTGGATATCCTAAGATTGTATTCGGGATATTGTGGCCCGAGTGTGGTGAGGCTACCCATTACAATTTTTTAAAATTTCAATCGAACCTGCCAAACTTTTCAAAATTTTAAAAAAAGTATTAATAGTTTATAGATTTTATAATTTTAACCCACTTAACTTGAAAATTGACCCCACAAAATAAATTATTAATTAATACTTTTTAAACTTTTCTTTTTGGCTCTCCTATTGTATTTTTCCTTTGGTTTAATAGTAAAAAAATGCTACTCATTTGGATTATAAGATGATACTAATTTTATTTTTATTTTTTTACTTAAAATTAATTCTTTTCTTTTAGCTTTCTTAATTGATGAAAGATCATAAGTTATGAGTTTTTGTTGAGTTTGAAATAATTCTTAGATTTTGACGTGTGTTTTGATTTAATCTTGTTTATATTGAGGTATGAATTAATTAATTGTTGTTTTAAGTTGGGTTTGATAAATTGCGGTTAGTTATTGAGTTAATTTTTAATATGGTTTAAAAAATTGATGAAATCCTAAGTTGTAGAGACTTGGGGATTTAGTTTAATTTTGATATATTGGTTAATTGCTTGATATTTAGAGTTAGATTTGATGAGTTTTTATGGGTTTATGAGTTGATTTTTATCGAGTTAGTAGAACTTGTTTGAAAAACCTAAGTTATGAGTTGAATTTTGATAAATTTGCA